TGTAACAAAATTTAAATTATTATAAACTCGAATTCGTAATATAATTCTGTAATAAAATTTACATAGAGATATTATAAGAAGCACTAAGATAATTCCTCAATCTATTGTGTTAAGCTTGTAGAGCCTTAATATATATATATATATATATATATATAATTATTACGACTACTATTGTCATAAATAAAATTTAAAGGCATTACAAGATTATTCGTTAATACATTTTATTTTAAAGTTATTAGGGAATATATGTATATTTAATCTTTTTAATTCACATAAAATATTTATTATTAATAAATAATGTATTTTTAGCATGAATTGCATGCATTATATTTCCATGAGTTTTTATATAAAAAACGAGCGCGCCAAGTATGCTGCTGCTGAAGATTTCTTCCTATTTTTTATTTTTCTATCACGTAATTTGCTACTTGTTATCAAAATCCCTTTTTAATTATTGCGGTCCTCATTACGCTATTTATTACATTTCTTGTTTTTATTTTTTACGTATACATTGAAAATAATAAAACTTGGATTTTATTTGTTTAATTTGATACAATATTTTTTTCGAAGTATATTATTTTTTTAGTTTTTAATTCAATTACAATAAATATACTTGAAATAATATTTTGATTTCACTTCTTTTTGGTAATGTGGCGGCATGTCTGCGCCACCCAAGCACGCGCGCGACGCGCGCGCCACCAAGCCCCCGCGGCCGCCCGACACATCGCGCGCCTACGCCGGGTCTCTCGCGCGGCGGACTTTGCGCCCGCGCCGAGGCACACGAGGCGATCACGCGCCAGCCGCGAGTGCCATTTTCAGTGACACACCGCTAGAGGGCCGAGTTTCTCGCAATGAATAAACGGCCCGGCAGGGTATAAATAGGCCCAATATTCCGAGCTAAGACCAGACACGGTTCTCGAGTTGAAGACGCTTAGTACTCAACAAAAGCAAGCCCGGTCTTTTTGGAAAGAATTTAGTACAACAACACCAAGCTGCCGCCTGCCACCGCAACTCGTCCCGGCGTCGCCTCAAACTGGTGACCCCGATTTAAAAAAAAAGAGAGGAGAATGTCGAAGGATAAGACAATCACGGTGGAGGACGTGGACGGAAACGTCAGCAGGATCTCCGTAAGGATACCAAACTTTTGGGCAGAAGAACCGGAGTTATGGTTCGCACAATTGGAAGGCCAATTTGCACTCCTCAACGTAACGGAAGACGCCAAATACGCCTTCGTCCTGGCACGGATCGAACCGAAGCAAGCTCGGGAGATAAAAGACCTGATTACACAACCGCCGCTAACGCACAAGTACGAGATCATAAAGAAGGCATTAATACAAAGACTAACGGATTCCCAAGGACAACGGATCCGGCAATTACTCGAGCACGAGGACATAGGCGACAGGAAGCCGTCACAATTCTTGCCACCTGAGTACCTTGGCAGGCACAACCGTATCAAAGGAATTGCTACGAACACTATGGCTAGCAAGGCTGCCACAAAATATGCAAGCAATACTAGCCACGAGAACAGAGGACAGGCTAGAAGACGTTGCAGAACAGGCTGACAGGATCCACGAAGTCAGCAGCAAGACGACAGTCATGGCAACCGCAGTACCCACCGGCACAGAGAGTAGAAACCCATGGGAATTACAGATCGCAGCATTGAGCAAACAGGTGGCAGATTTAACAACGGAAATCGCGAAGATGGCAAGAAACCAAGCAAGATCACGGAGCCAACACAGAAGTCAATCAAGAGACAGACCCAGATGGCGAAGCAAATCCCCAGCGCAGGAAGGAGTTTGTTTCTACCACCGGCGTTTCGGAGACAGAGCAATAAAATGCACAACATCGTGCAACTTTAAAACAAAAAACTCCGAGGCAAGTCATTGATGGCGGCCAGTGACAACAGCTTGGAACCATGCCGCTTATACATGACGGACAGAAAGACAAAGATAAGGTATCTCATTGACACGGGCTCAGACGTAAGCGTGTTCCCGCAGACCATGTTACAAGGCAGGAGACGACCAGAGGCATATACCCTATACGCCGCAAACAGATCAACCATTACAACGTACGGAACAACCACCTTGCAGCCAGATTTCGGACTGAGACAAGTGTTCCCTTGGCGCTTTACTATAGCGAAGATAACACAACCTATCATCGGGTCCGATTTTCTGTCCAGATACCATTCGCTACCAGACATAAGGAACAAAAAACTAATAGACGGAGAAACCGGGTTAGCAGCAGCAGGAACGTCAGGTGGACAACTAGTCGCTTCGATCAAAACGATGCTGGGAGGAACAAGATACCACAAGGTCCTAGCAGAATTTCCGGAGATAACACAACCGACCGGAAAACAAGCAGCATGCCGACATCAGACAGAGCACCACATCGAAACAACACCTGGTCAACCGGTAGCATGCCGGCCACGCAGGTTGGCCCCAGACAGACTAAAAGCGGCCAAGGCGGAGTTCGATCTTTGGCTGCAGGAGGGAGTGATCCAACCTTCAAAAAGCCCATGGGCGACACCACTGCACATGGTTCCGAAAAAAGGAGGCGCATGGAGACCATGCGGGGACTATAGAAGACTCAACGCACGAACCGTGCCGGACAGTTACCCGATACCACACATCGAGGACTTCGCGCAGACATTACACAGGAAACAAGTTTTCAGCACGCTCGACTTGGTCAAGGCATACAACCAGATCCCGGTACACTCAGCGGACATCCCAAAAACCGCAGTTACGACACCTTTCGGACTCTTCGAGTTCAAGTACATGCCGTTCGGACTACGCAACGCGGCGCAAACATTCCAGAGATTCATCAACGAGGTGATAAACGGACTGGAATTCTGCTACGCCTACATTGATGACATCTTAATCGCTTCAGAATCAGAAGAAGAACATGAGGAACACCTTCGACAAGTACTCACGCGGTTGCGCAAGTACGGCGTAAAAGTCAACCCGGCGAAATGCATCTTCGGAGAAAGACACGTCCAGTTCCTAGGGTACCTCGTAACGGCGGAAGGAACAAGACCACTACCCGAAAAAGTAGAGGCAATACGGAACTTCCCCCTGCCGAAGACGATCAAGCAAATGCGCCAATTTTTAGGAATGCTTAATTTTTATAGGCGTTTCATACAGGACGCAGCCAAGGATCAAGCAAAACTGAACGAGCAGTTAAAAGGACCAAAAAGGAACGGGAAGACACCCATAGCATGGACGCCAGAATTGGAAAAAGTCTTCGAGAACTGCAAGGAGAGCCTATCACGGGCAGCAATATTAGCACACCCGGATCCAGAGGCAGAATTAGCAGCGACGACAGACGCCTCTGACGTAGCCATAGGAGCTGTAATCCAACAAAAGACGAAAGAAGGATGGCAACCATTAGCGTTTTTAAGCAAAAAACTGAGCAACGCACAGACTAAGTACAGCCCCTTCGACCGAGAGTTACTGGCAATCTACATAACACTCAAACACTACCGTCACCTACTAGAAGGACGCCAATTCACGATATATACGGATCACAAGCCTCTAACGTACGCGTTAAAACACGATCCAGCACGCAGTTCCCCACGACAAGCACGCCATTTAGAGTTCATCAGCCAATTTACGTCGGACATACGACACGTATCCGGCAAAGATAACGTGGTAGCAGACGCACTATCAAGGGTGCAGGCTATACAGAAGGCCGTGGACCTAGAAAGCCTAGCGGACGACCAGGAGAAAGACACCGAACTACAAAGCATCAAAGAAAATAACGAACTATTGAAGCTCACAGAAGTGGCATTACCAGGCACAACAAAGAAACTGTACTGCGACACCTCCACACCAATAGTAAGGCCCTTTGTAACAAAAGCCTTCCGCAAACAAGCATTCGATTCCATACACGGACTATCACACCCGGGGATCAAAGCAACGGCCAAGATGGTGGCACAGAGGTACGTGTGGCCACAAATACAGCAGGACTGCAGACTGTGGGCACGAACCTGCATACCATGCCAAAGGAGCAAAGTAACTAGACATAACATCACGCCAACAGGCACCTTCGAAAAACCAACGAAACGATTCGAACACATACATATGGACTTGGTCGGTCCCCTTCCGTACTCAAAAGGCTACAAATATTGTCTAACAATTGTAGATAGGTTCTCGAGATGGCCAGAAGCAATACCAGTAGAGGACATTACAGCAGAGACAATCGCACGCCAACTATTCGCCACATGGATAGCACGCTTTGGAACTCCGGCAAGGATTACGACCGATCAAGGACGACAATTCGAGGCAGACCTCTTTCGGAGACTCACGCAACTGACAGGGACAAAGCATATCCACACCACAGCATACCATCCAGCAGCTAATGGATTGGTGGAACGTTTCCACAGGCAACTCAAAGCAGCAATCAAATCCCACCAGACGGAAGACTGGACGGAAGTACTGCCAGTCGTGTTAATGGGGATTCGCGCCGCCTGGAAGGAGGATCTCAATACAACCCCAGCAGAGATGGTGTTTGGGGAAC